ATATATATATATATATATATATATATATATATATATATACTACTACTACTTACTTACTACTACTCTATACGTATACCTATATAATTATATATATATATATATATATATATATATATATATATATATATATATATATATATATATATATATATATATATATATATATATATATATATATATATATATATATATATATATATATATATATATATATATATATATATATATATATATATATATATATATATATATATATATATATATATATTATACATACATATATATTTTTTAGTATTTATGTATATAGATGTATTTTTATATTTACACACTCACATACATACATACATACATACACACACATATATATACATATATATGTATATATATCCGTACAAGTTGTACACAGAAAAGTGTCAACTCCCTATATAACAGGAGACGATAGGTACTAGTATGTACACGATATAATAAATCGCACATGTCTTACCCCCAATCAATCAAACGTACTGGGCCTGATGGGGCGCCGCACATAATATTGGACGGCTTCACATCGCGATGGAAGATACCCTGAGCGTGGCAATGAACTAGCGCTGACAACACCTGACAGCAGAGACCGAGTATCGAGCGATATGAATTATACGTCGGAGATGAACGCAAACGATGACTATATATAACTGGTTCAGTAGAAGCCGGACATAATGGCTTAGAATACGCAAGGATGCCGAGTCTTGCGAGGCTAGCTATGAATCCATTCATGCATCCCAGGGAATGGCTGATGTTAGCGATGGCAGTTGAGTATCAAATATATCTCGGAAGAACAAAATGATAACTCGCTTAGTAGCACCCATATCGAAAGGATTGGAGTTCTTCCCAAATGAATTGTATATTTACAAACCCGACCATAGTCACAGGCAACAATAGAGGGGAAAAACAACATCCAACTCTGCGTCATAAACAAGGTTGAATGATGACTGAGGACTACCCGCGCCCGAGAAAAACACATCCGATCCCAAAGCGCGCGGAAAGAAAAAAAGCTAGTCCTATGTGTCATGATATCATACGATTGTAAAGATTTTCAATTCAATTCAAATGAGAATCGAGAATATTGGAGCAAACTGGACGGAGCCAGATTAAGGCCTGCAAAAGCCAGGAAGGACTGACTCGAGATATATGGCAATTGCCCACGTGGCACAGTTTAGAACATAGCTACGATATACCTGTTTTAGATAGTCCACGATGTCGTTCTCCTCCATTTGGATGTACAGAACCTGAAGTAAATGGACAAGACGTACGAGAGATAAACTTGATATCAGACTGCCTACACCGTGCGGACCATCATTCATTACCTCCACGCGGCAGTCTGTCTCAGGGGCTTGCGTTGGAGTTCAGAGAAAACGTACCGTGGTATAATTTGGATATGGGATAGTCAGAGCTAGTGGATATCATCAACACGCGTTAGCCTTTGGAACATATACGTCGACGCAAGGATTTGGCAACGTGCAAGAGCAACATGTGGATTTTAGCATGATCTGCAAATGAAATATCGATGTTCGGTGATGATCCGTTAGCTATTTCATTTTAGCCGGAGACTTTCAGCAGTACTTCTCGTTAGTTAAAACAAGATATATATGTAAATGACTATTCATAGTAACAACACGTGTTTGACTACTATACTCATCCGTGGATTCTCAGAGCGCGGTTCGGGTGTCATTCACAACATCTCAGTAATAAGTCTGCACAACCACCGCCTGTCAATACCATCGTCATCCTAAACCCACCACCAATTACACATATCCTAACTTCCTCTCGAAACTCTCGCCGAATGGCAAGTACCTTGTACTTCACATTCGGCGAGCGCTCAAACACCAGCGCTGTACACAACGAGATGGGGTCGCGCAGGACATCCAAGAGCTTCACAGTCGATGGACCCATTCGCACATCTTTCAGTATAGAAATCTCGCGCAATATTTTTTTCTGTATGGCAGGCTTAAGTATCTGTGAGGTGTGGTTTAGGGTTTAGGGTTTTAGGTTTCTGTATGGCTGGCTTGAGTATCTGTGAAGTGTGGGTGTGCACATAAGTTTTAACAGAAGACGAGCTGATAGAATGAAGAAAAACATACGACATGTGCAAATACGGTCAAGCAGTGCTATATCACATTTTTAGTCACATGGTTTTACTCATCTATGTTCTCGAGCATCCGCAACCCGTGCTAAAAATATTTATGCTCTGCAACGGTATGGTCGGGTTGTGAGGCTGTTCCCATTACACGCACAAAGTTGAGTGCAACTACATTCGGCGTAGACAATACTATTTTTCGCACAGATAATAGAAAGTACTAACTTAACAGATGTTGATGCTCACACATCTTTAACCCGACACGTCCAGCGTTAGCGACAATTTGTGCGCTCACATGTCCTCCTACAGCCGACTTCAAAATCAATTCGCGCTTTGGTAACATCAGAACAACATATTCACCTGACCCTGCGTATATTTATGTAGCTATGGACGTGCATCAAATTACAGGTAACATGGTGCCACAAATGACACGAAGTCTGGGTATGTATGCGAAATGCTTTTGAACTTTTATTCATAATATGATTGAATTTTCGGGTCTGCATATCGGCTCGTATTCACAAGCAGGTCACGTAGCAATGCTTCGAGAAGCAGAAGACCATCTCAGACTGAGAATAAAATCATATCGTCTTGGCAATGGCTACCCGCCACCTCAACTTGTGCACGATATCGAGCTCATCGCTACATCACACAGAAATGTATATTGCCATGCGCAAAAGTTCGGTACGCGTAAAATTCGATGTTAGACTATCTAACACTGCATTATAGACAGCCGATCTGGGTACAGACATGAATACGAGCAGTACAGGCAACACCAGTTCACGAATATACAATATAGTGCAGGTCACTGTAGTCAGTACAGCAACGCTGCGTTCCTACGAACTGATTGATTCCTGCGACTTCATACTAATCAGAAGTACTGCTGCTATTCGTAGTTAGGCAAACACGGTTATGTGTTGAGCATGATTGGTGTTATTACCCTCCCTACTACTATCACATTGCAGGATCTCAGATGCAGCATATGGCCCAAAGAGTCTAGAATTTCACAGATAGTATGCAGACCCTCATAAGATACAATACTCCCAAGGTACGAAGAGAAAATAAATGAAGTGGGAACTAAACAGATCATATATATATATATATATATATATATATATATACGTAGTATTATATTTATATATACATACATACTATACATATATCTACTATACTACATATATATATAT